AAAACTCGAAGAATCAAATGGGACACTTCACTTGCGAGGTGGCAGGACGTGCCCTCCAAGTTTCCAAGTGGGAGGGGAAGGTGGAAGAGGAAGGCCACTCTCTGATTTAGCACGGGAAGCCCAAAAAATTACACCCACTACAGCAAGACAAGCCGGAGCGCTGAAGGCGAGCTGCACGTTGACAGGGATGTGCAGGTCAGGTTGTTGCAGTGGGATGAGCGCAAAGAAGGATTGGAAGGAACTCATTGTAAGTTGCGGTACATTCAAGTGAACAGTGACTTTTCAAGCACCCCCTGCCAATCGACGTTTCACCTGTACCCAGATACGAAGTAATCTGGCATGCGACGGTTACGGATTTCATATGACCGGGTTGTGGTGCACTACAACGGTCATACCACATCACGGAATACTTCCACTCAAGTAACTATTCCGACGGACACGTGAATGGGGGACTCGCTTGCAATTCATTTGGCTAGCATAGTTCATCCTATCATCATAGAATTCGTCAAGCATTGATATCAGCGATTTTAAATGTCGTATCTGTACCATCAAATGCATGACTCACCACAATACTGGCGTGCTCATCTAAGTCGGCGGAGACAGCTTTTGCCACCAGCATAGATCTACCCACCAATTGAGGACAAACATTTTAGCATTGACGCCAACGTTTGACACTCCATAGGACAGATCCACACCATGTGCTCGTGTCTGAAACGTGTCAATCTCACTATTCCAACTGCCACGTACTGTTGTTGGCAGAACTGGGGAGTTTTTCCCGCCGCTGGCAAAACTGGTGGTGCCTGGCCCACGGCAGAACTCCAGGGTATCTGTCTCATTTTGAGCACAATTTGAATTCAATATATTCCATTGTGTCCGACTTGTTGATCGGTATTATTATCTTCAATATTGCCGCTTGGTCAATCCACATCGACTATGTAGTAAGGTTTCCACTGATTGTGGGGCAACAGTCAGCCTGAATCGGATGAGATTGCCCAAGGTAAATCGACGACGCCACAGTTTAATGAAGTGGATATTGCATCCACGAGAAGCTGGGGATAGGACAGCGTAGTGGCAAGTCTGCCTTGATGCCGTGACGTACAACATCCGAGTAGTGATATGGTATCGTCGCGTGCAGGAATGTGGGGTACATTCCAAGGGTTGCAATACCGAATCGTAAAATCCATCGATCGTGTCTCAGTTGCGGAGGTATGTGCCATCACAAAAATTGCTCAACTGAGATGTTTGGTGGTCTATCCCGAAGCAAGGCACGAGCGTAGGGTTAGAGTAAGGACTTTGTGCCAGCGTCAGTGCAGCACGTGACTACTCTTGTCTCCGTACCATGTCGACGGTCGTACTCGGCCGCACTCCAGCAGGCTCCTGCCTGGCTGCTGCCTTCTGCTTTTCTTTTCTCACCATTTTCCTTTCTTTCTCATCATCTGTTTCTTGCTGCTGTTTCTTTCTCGCAGTTTCACCAGTCTTTCTCGGATCTCAAATCTTGGCCTCGAACTTCGACTACCAACTTTCTAATTCCGAGACCCGGTCTATTCCTGGTCCTATGCTGCCAACTCAGTGAGCTCTGAAGGCTCAGATCCTTGTATGCATCCGCATACAATGAAGACAAGTCCAGCGGGGAAGCTGGCCATGGGTTGGGAGCTTCACAGGGTGCTCCGGCACCACTCTCTCATGTTTACCCATGCAGGAAGTTTGCAACTGCAAACTCTCGTCAGGTCTTCTCAGTCTGCTGAGGTATAAAACCTGATAAGGGGAGGGAACTTCTACCCAGTTTCCGCAATTTCATGTGGTGAGCTATCCCTAAGGACTGCTTCTGCCCTCCCAATATTGCTTTTGCCTGCATTTTTGCTTATGTGGATGCCTCGCCTCCTCTTCGGCGATACTACCACACTTTCACTTTGATGATGCCGCCATGCTACCTCTTACCTGCTACCTCTCACCAAGCTACTTCTCACCAAGCTGCCTCACACTACACTACCTCTTGCTGAGCTATCTTTCTATCATGCTCCTGTTTCCTCACCTCATTGCATTGCTCTGCAGCTCCTACAACTGTGGGGATCTGAGGCTCACTTCGCTGCGTTGCATTCACTCCTACTTTCTTGGGATTCACAGCTCACCTTGGCTCACTCTTGCACAGGTTTGGGCCGCTATTGGGCTGGGTGCCCCTTGGGCTCCGCCCAAATAGCTATCTGCATCCAGTCAATGCAAACATTCTCTCTCATGCTCTCACTGAAACCGCTGCACAATAGCCCCCACAAAGTTATCTGATTTAGACTGCTGTGCTTGTGACATGTCATGGGTCATGTTGCCGACACAATGCACCTGGGTTTCCCAATAAGTAAGCCTTACTATAGTGGTCTATTACGTGTTGTACCTACTATTGTTAGGCTTCATTGTACTAATACTCAACACCAGTGTAATATACTGTCTCAAATACTCCAGGACTCCTGCTATTTGGTGTACACTGCTGGTAAGCAGCTCGGCACTGTCCACCCGCCTATACTATCCAAATGTGTCATCCTGATGTGCCCCTGCTATGCACCTAACCTTCCAAAATTGGCAAGGTACTGCTCCCATGCCCCTTGCCCTTCTCCACCACCACCACCACCACCGTCTATCACCCCGCCATAGGCATTGATGATGCCTTCTACACTTTTAGCAACCACCACTACATGGCAACCGTCTGCTTAGCCATGCTCTACCATTCTGGATGCCAGCCTCGTCTCTCAAGGATGTCACCACCAGACTCGTCTCTCGAGGATGCCACCACCAACCTTTTTGCTATCCATGCCACGGGCATTGGCAAAGCATATTACAGGGGCTGTTGAAAGTCCACTGTCAAACATAACTTCCGATGTTCAGTTTGAACAGTTGAAGTACTAAGGGCAGGGCAGCAAAACCAATGCAGGAGGATGCAAATTCAAAGCGACAATCCTGCATACAAGGTATCATAACTATATTCCTCCATGACGTCCTTCTCACGCTCTGCAGAGATGTTGATTGAGGACCGCAAGGCTGTCGAGATGATGCTAGTTGATCTCGATGTTGATATTGAACACCTACCATATACTGCTCCTCCTGGTGAGGAGGGAGCTGACCTTAGTCATGAAGGTGGGGAGTACAAAGCCTTTGAAGGACTATCTCAGCAGATTGCTGACATCTCTGGCTTGTTATTATTATTTTTTCACGCCTGCTAGTATGAATGTGCTGATGTATGTTAGGCACTATGTGGATCTGCACACACGTAGGGACCGCATTGATGTCCAGACCGCCAATTGGAATCTTCAGATGGAACATCTCATCAGTGCTTATTTGGACTACCGCACACGGGATTGTGGTAAGAGCATGCCGTATATTTCAAATCAAGATGAACTGATGTGTAATGACACTGACAATTTATCTCTTCAGAATATTGAGCTCATTGATGCATTCAGTAAGTAATTTCTCTTTACTTTAAGACATTCACATTCATTGATCTACAGGTTGAAAATGTGTTTCTCTGCACCCTCAAACATTCCACAAGTTTCCAAACGAGAGTCTTATCTATCATGGATACCTGGGTTGCTCTCCGCTTCACCTGACTGTTGCTATTTCCCTCTGCACACTTGCAGCATATTGACAATCTCACAGGACCTGCCCTTGGTTTAGCATTCAAGCACAATGCAAAACCTTGTGCCACCTGCATGACGTACGACATTCAATGTAACAGTATTCGCTACAGTTAATTACATGTTGCTTTTCATAGATTCTGTATCAACCATATTTCAACACACAATTTTCAGGATGCTGTTTGACGTTTACCTTGAGATCTTGAACCATGTTGACTGTATCATCAAAGCAGAGCTAAAGCATGACTTACCCAACTGGCGCCTTCTAAACTCATGTCTGTGTTGCTTCTATAAACTTGAGGGTGAAGATAAACTAGCATTCAAGTGGCTTGCTACCATCAATGGAAACAATAGCTTGAAAAGATGGTTGTCATCTACATATCAGCACATCTCCATGCAAGGATTCATGGACTTATCGTTCTGACTATTGGCTTAGTCATGCGAAGGTTGATGCATTCAAAATTGGCACTCAAACACGATCAGTGAGTTCAGCTAGAATCAATTTTACGAGACTAATCATTCAAATTACAAGGGACCTAATGATGACTGGGAGGATGCTGTACAACTGGAGTTGGGATCCTTTCATTGTGTTGATCGCTGGCGCAATGCGGGTCCAGAGCAACTGTAAATACATGTTTTCTGTTTTCGACAAGTCCAGAATCTTTATTGCAGCTTGTTGCCACCAGTTCATTCTTTTAGCCTGTGATATGGTGAAGAGTGGGGAACTGTTTGTGTGCTTTTACATTGTTGTCAGCCTTGCTGACATATTTTTAAGTGCAAAATACCCATTGGCTATTATAGATCATCTGCTTCGGTGTTTATGGCAAGAATGGTGGAATCACATACGACATTGGCTGCACATTTTCCAAAACGCTGTGATGACAAGATGTGGCTGGGCTGTAGGTAAAAGCACCAAACCAATATATATGAGTTCCTGCTCTCCTAGCTGCTACTCTTGCTAGCAAGAACGTTCGACCCTAAAGGATCTCTGACTAGGCTCAGGCTCAAGAAAGGAGAGTGGAGAAGGTACTCCAAGTCAAGGTAAGAAACTATGTTCCAGGAGCTATCTGGTGAGCTGAGGGAGCTACAACTAGGAAAGCTACAACTAGGGGATGCTACTAAGTAACCCAAGTGAATGGGGAGCAACCAAAGAACTGGAAACAAGGGAAACTAGGTAATGACTGTGGGGTCCTGGGTAAAGGGAAGATGATTATGTAAGCAGCAAAAGTACAAACCTAATCTAAGGAGAGTGTCAATAAGAGATGCATAGTGAAAAGTGCCTCTGCAAGGCTACAGAAAGTTTGAACAGCCACAACAGCTCGGAAACAGTAGTTTGGGACCCTGTGCTCGTGAACTCAACTTACAGATGATGGTCAGGGCCTTCATGGCCATGCGCACAACCGGAGGTGCCAGATTGATTGGCACCTGATGTATATTGATGGTACTGGCCACATGGAGGGTGAAGGTTGTGAACATGTCTTTTCATCCTCAAATGAGCTTGCACATAGTACTCACCATGCTAATTCATTTCACCTGGCATCAGTCAATCGAACAGCACTTCTCATTTTGGGATGAGGACAAGTATACGGCCCTTAGTGAGTCTTTGACATTCTACTTAGATAATGATTCTAACTTGACATGTAGGCACATTTTTATGCAATCACTACCGAGAAGCCCTGACAGCTATTCATACCCTTACTGCTGAACTTTTCTGCCATCGAAGGTATTCTTGATCTTACAGATGCGGACTTCATTCATTTTCACAAGCAAGAACACTTATATCTGGATGGTTTGAAAGAGCCACCAGTCAAGGATCGAATCAGTGTTCAGTATGTTCAATCTCTTGATGAGGTTGCAGAGCGACAGTAAGTTATCTAGTCAGTTTAGTACTAATCTGATAGCTCACGGCATATGACAGAAAGGAATGGAATTTAGCACGAGAAGCTGCTAATCACGCCCTCATGGAAATTCATGTCGGAGGTTTTGAGGAAATGCATGTCGCTCTCAACCAAGCTCAAACCTGTATTGACTGGAGCTTATTCCAAGCTTCAAAATGTGGAAGCTATGACTTTGCACTTGGAAATCCAACTCAGAATCGATAAACGGTGGGAGATTGGAAGTGAACACTACAACCACTTTCGTCAAGAAGCTTCATTATTAAATTATCGCACAGAACTTGATGAACTCGAATGACTTGTTGTGATGCATTTATTTGAGCTGTCGAAGCTCTCACTTTCAGGAACAGGTAAATTAGTCATTTCATATGTGTGCTGATGCTCATTTTTCAAATTAGGCTACAAACTATGTCAACAGATTGGCAAAGCTTTACAATGATGTTTGGAGGCAATACACAACGCACTGAACTGGTACAATACTCAAGCCACTGCTCTGGTCCCTCCATGACCGCAGCTGACATGGAAGGATATTGTGGAGTATAGCTTTCTGGGCGAGTTTGATCTTTTGTGTCAATCTTGTTCTGACACTTGCACTTTGGATTGGACCAAACCTGCTTATTGTGAAGCTATGGTGAAGTACTTCAAGATCCGACGTGCTTGTGAAGAAATCCAGAGGTTGAATATTGAAATTCACCAGCTGCACACAGCTATACATGACGAAGAACTCAAGGTGAATGCCACCATTGATGCCCTTCTCATATCAAACCGGCCAGTCGGACTTGAACTGCAACGTCAATGGCGAAAAATGTGCTGCTGTCAATGCACTACATCCACATATTGCAGTAACATATCTCGTATTATACGAGTGGACGGACGTGCATAATATCCCCGTATGATACGGGCCAGCGGACCATGGGCCGAGGGTAGATATATCCTCGACTGTGACGGATGGGCCGGGAGTGTTATTATTCCCGATGGAGACGGGTGGGCCCAGGTGGGGAATATGTAAAGTAGATGGGTGGGGCCGATGGACATGAATTTTCAATAGACGGATCGGCCGAGGTAGTTGGATATTATGTAGATGGGTGTACCAAGGTAGATATGTATCAAATAGCCGGGTATATCAAGGGTGCTT